ATGGTACAGAATACAGAAAAAGGTGGATGGTTCCCTAATTCATTTTACAAAGCCAGCATAACTTTGAAATCAAATGAACAAAAAATTAATTTGAGATACTAGCGGACCAAATCATGTAGTATATTAAAAGGCCAGTATACCACAACCAGGTAGAATTTGATCCAAAAATATTTCTAAGTTATGAAACATTATTAAAATTCATTGCATCAACAGGTCAATGGAGAAAAACAACACCAATATCTCTATAGATATCAAAAAAGTATTTCATAAAATTCTAATCCATTCCTGATTTTAATCGTACATGAAATAGAAATAAATACTTAATTAGCATTATAAAAACATACAGCCTTAAAAAAGTATCTGTTATCATACTTAACATGAACCAGAAATGAGACAAAGTTTTCTGTTATCAACAATTTAATGTTTTGGAAGATCTAGCCAATACTATAAGACAAGGAAGAGAAATAGAAGAGATAAAATTTTTAAAAATTTGCTGTAATTGTATAGATATGAATGACTCTTTGCCTAGAAATTCCAAAACATTCAACTAAAAACTTGTAGAACATACGAGAGAATTCAATGAGATAGCCAAAACAATACATACATAATCTCTTCCCTACATACCAGTAACAACCAGTCAGAAAATATAAGAAAACATTCACAGTAGAAGCAGTACTTAATTCCTTGAAATAAACTTAATGACAAATTGTGAATTTGTCAAATTTGACAAATTGTGAATATATATATTAAACTGTAGAATATGTAAAGCCACAGTATCAAAAAATAGCAATTCTCTTTAATTTACAATTTTATAAAATTCCACAGAATATCTATAAAGCATGTTTTTAACTTCACCATATTACTAAAATTCACCTGGAAGAATAAACAAATGAGACTAAACAAGAAAATCTTGAAAAATAAGAATGAAGGAAGACTATTGCTATCAAATAATAATACATATTACAACTATACAATATATTATAACAAAGCAATACTAGGGTAAGAATAGACAGATTAATGGCATACTAGAAAGCCACAATGAGAAACAAAAACTATAAAAGTATCTAGCATGTGGTAAACGTGGAAATGAAGGATATAGTTGTTTCTCACAATATTTAAAGGATTAAAGATTCAATATAAAGAAGAAATCATGAAAGAACTAGGAAAAAATAAAAGTGACTAATTATATGAGCTTCTAAGCAAGAAGAAACTATAAGAACAAATTAGTGATAGATTTTTAGAACATAAAATTTTTTTAAATAAAAAAGTTGAAAGCTCCATGAACGAAATGGAATGGCAAATGAAAAATGGTGTGGGGGGGAAATGTTGGTAATATAGAATGGAAAAAGAGTTACTCTTCTTATTTTGAAAGGTATTATAAAATAAAAATAAAAGATACACCAGTAGAGAAAAATGGGAAAATGACTTTCAGTTCAATATGGTGAATTACATATAGATATTCACCTGCCCTCTCCCTTGAAACTGTGCTAAATGAAAGTGAAGGGATTTTCATTTGGAGCATGGGTACACAGGGAAGAGGACAAGAAGATAGGGGAGTGGTAACTGATTCAGAGCTGGGAACACTAGACTGGCAGTGAGGAAAGCTGAAATAAAGGCCAGGGTATGCCATGGAACCCACTGAAGTCTCAGGACTTGGCAGGACCAGGTGCCTCCAGGAACACCTGGGCCTAAATAAGATGGATTGGCTAAAAGTCTGTTACAGAAGAAGACAGAGCCCCATATCTTCACCCATTAGGCAAAGCCTTCCCTAACTGTGAGAGAAGACTGAAAAGGTATTACATGCAGAAAGCAAAGCAGAGGTGACTGGAGCAGAGATGCACCAGTTGAGGGCAAGAGTCCTAAAGTTTAAAAAGGCGGCCAAGCTTTGCAAGTTGGATGCTAAGACCACCCAGTCTTCCTCCACAAATCTCCCAGAGCACTGGCAGCTAGTAATACTCTAGACCAGAAACTGAAAAACTTTCTTTGGAGCATCTGAGCAATCTAAAAGAAAAAAAACATAAAAATGCTGAAACCTGGGTTCCCCAATAAAAAAGACCAGTTAGTTCACTCTACAGTAAAGCCCATAGTTTACAAGGCCCAGCCACATACTGAGGGCTTCCAAATAGCTCAGTAGTGTATTTGGATGCGTGCATTACAGATGTGTATCTATATCATCTATATCTATCTATCTATCTATATGACCAGAGAGTTGAGAAAAGCACCTAACATGGAAGTTAGAGACTCACTTGGAAGGAGGAAGAGACAAAAAAAAAAAAAAAAAAGCTTGGAGACTCTGTAAGAGAAAGAAAATTTCAGAAAACCTATTATTAATATTTTCAGAAATATCAAAGAAGCAATTACATCCATGAAACAAAATGCTATAAAATACTGTTTAGGGTATAATAAAAAAAAACTGCGAATATCAGAGATTGCAGAAGTGAAAATAGGTTAAAATAAGAAGACAGAGAAATCTCTCAGGAAGAGAACAAAGAGGTGAAGAGATGAAAATCAGAGGAAAAATACATGAGTAGCAGAGAACCAGTCAAAGAGATCCAACATACAAACAATATAAGTTCAAGAAAGAGAAAAATGATAGGAGGACATTGTCCAAGGAATCGTTTAAGAAAAATTTTCACAACTGAAGGACACATATTTTCAGATCAAAAGGGCCTGGAAAAATGGATGAACGTAGATCCCCATCAAGACGCACACACATGAAATTCAAAGCACAAGAAGACAATAAGAAAACACTGCAAGTTCCAGAAAGGGAGGAGGAAAAAAAGATCACATACAAGGGATGAGGAATCAAAAAGTTTTCAGACTTCTGGTCAACAGCACTAGAAGCCAGAAAGCAATTATATATGCTTTCCAAATCTGAAGGGGAAAAAAGTTACTAACTAGAATTCTATTCCCAGACAAGCCATCAACATCAGTGTGGACTAGACATTTTCCTTTTCAGATGTGAAAGGTCTCCAAAAATTTACCTCCCATGAACCCTTTCTCAGGAAACTGCTAGAGGATGCACTCTAGCTAAACAAGGGAGTAAACCAAAAGAGAGGATAACACGGGATTTACAAAATCAGGGATCCAACCAAGGAGAGATGGTCAAGGGAAGCCCCGGGTAGAGAATGAGGAGGAGATCCCAAGATAAGGGCAGGAAGCCCAAAGATGAACCAATCCAGAAGAGAACAGGCAAGGAGGCTCCAGGAAGAGATTTCTTCAAAAAGATAAAACACATTAAATACAAACAAAAAATACTGATGTGTTTGAATGTCTTGAGAGGCTGGGGATAAATTTGTGATAAGTTCATTAAAAACTAACCAACCAATCAAAGAGAGAAGGAAAAAAAGAAAGAAACAAACAAAAACCAAGACAATTATTACCTCCAGAGAAAACAAGTTGTAAGGAGAAGTAAATAAACATCGTGCTGTTGTTCCGCTATCAAGAATATTTACACTGTTAAAATAATGTAAACACTGAATATCGATCAAACCAAAAATGTGAGCTAAATATATTGAAAGGATGAGACAGAGAGGTCTTCCTGTGTGTGGTGAGGCCAAGGGCGTTTGTGAAAGAGAGTTAAATCTTCATCTTCTGTGGTTGAAAGCCAAGATAATGCTTAAGCTAAAAAACTTTTTCTGAGAACTAGAAAAACCAGAATGTTACTTAGAAAAATGGTTGTAAATGTCAAGAGACTCAGTTAAAAGAGTTAAAAGCTGTTGCTTCTGTGGAGCAGGCTATGGGATTGGAGTGGAGAAGGCTGATGCTTCTACAAAATTTTGTAAAACTATTTGATGCTTAAAATGACGTATGTGCATGATTTCAACAAAAATAAAACTCAATGAAAAATGCAAAGAACCTGAAATGACAACTCAGGTACAAAGCGCCAATAAAGATATGGGAGGAAATGCTCTTATGTTTAAAAACTTTGATAATTCCCAGAAAAACGGTCACTTCTTAAACTAATTCTGAGAATGTAAGTAAGTTGGTACAAAGGAGGGCAATTTGGCCATAAAATGCTCACACCTTTTGACATGGCCACTCCACTTTCAGAGTGCACTGCAGGAAACTGAAAGATGAAAAAAACAAAGTTGTTCAGCCCAACTTACACCATCCAACTTTTAAAAATCATGTAAATATCTGACAAGAGCAGGTCAATTTAAATCAATTATGATATAGTCATGTGCTAGGATACTAGGTTAAAAAATCACAAGACAGGAAATTACTTAATGGCATGAGAAAATGTTCAGGATGTATAGTTAGGTGAAAAATTAGGATGACTGTGATGAACCCAATTTACAATATAGAGACATATGTGTGTACACGCACACACACACACACGCATACACACACACTTTTGCAATTTATAGGTGAAACCAAAAGACCAGTGGCTGGTCACCAAAATGCCGGCAGTGGTCATCTCTGAGCAGCGAGACTCTTGTTCTTTTTAGTATTTTACAAGTTTTCACAATAAACGTATTTCTTTTTTCTAGAATTATTACATGCAATAAAGTTTAGTTATCAGCTTAGTAACTTTTACGGGAAAAACTCACATGGCTCCCCCGTCTTCATTCTCCACGACAGAAATGAGAATGCATAATTTATAAGAGACTCAGCGGGGGACAGGGGTGTGAAGGTAACCCTGAGTCCCAGGCTCAAGCGGCCAACAAGGACTCTGGCGTCTGGTCAGCTGCAAAGTGACCACTTGGGTGGGACCAGAGATGAGGGCCAGGTGTCTGGGGTCGGGACCCTGCTGACCTCCCTTCTATGCTCGGGGTAGCTTCTGAGTGGCTTCATCCTTCACCCAGAGAAGCAGCTGCCAGAAACAGCCCAGCCTCTACCTGCCACTGCCCAGGTGGGCAGTGCGTGCATCTGGGCCCCTCGGAGGCCTTCACACATGCTAGTATCGCCTCTAGCCTTTACCTTTTCTAGACCAAGCCTGGCCCTTAGTCACGGGCACACAAGTCTCTTAGAGTGTAACCAGGAAAAGCACAACTCACCCAGCGAAGCAAGGGCTCCACCCATTGGAAGTGTCCTCAGGAAGCCTTGTGCTCAAGCAACCACACCTCCACGGGCTCCGTGCGAACAACCTTCCAAGACAAGAGGGCCGAGTCACAAAACCACGTCCAACTGTGTGAGCACGTGTCTGACCCCCAGGGTCCATCCCTGGAGGGGTGGCTGGTTAATGGTGAGGCCAGCCCTGGGGACGTGGGGCCAGAGCAGAGGCAGCTCCCCGACTCAGGATGCTCCTAACCCAACGTGAGATGAACGGGGCAGATCTGGGTCGGGGTGGTAGGAGGTGTGAATGGGGGAAGGACGAGAAACTCAGGCTGGAGCAGGGCGGAGGGGAGGAAGGAGAGGATGACCTCGGTTTCGGCCAGTTGGGACGTCTGTCAAGATAAAGAACACAGGGGCCTGTGGGACTGGCCTAGCCGATCAGCGCCCTCGGACCTGCACCCGTCGAGTTAGCGCTGTTGTTAGTATCACTGTCATTGTCTACTGTATCCAGGGATACACGGAATTGGACTGATGACAGTCTTCATCCCATGACACCAATCATCACTGGTCCACGAATGGCTCTTTTAGTTTATTCTTTTTAACTTTTTAAGGATTTAATGCTCATTCATAAACCCACCAGAGCTCCAACCCAGAGCTAGGACACTAAGTTGCATCCCCCAGGGCTGGGTGGCCATTCCGTAGAGCCCCGGGGTCATGGGGCTCCCCTCCAGCCCTGCCATTGGAGGCTGACACCCCCCGATGCTGGATTTGGGAGCCACGCCCCAGCTATTTACTCCCTGCTCCGATCCGTTCCAGCCACGCCATTCCTGACCTGGGAACTAACTAAGCGAGCCCAGGCTCTCGACACTGTGAAAGAAACGGGCTGGTCTCAGACAAAGCCCCAGCTGGAGCTCTCCCTGAGGTCACAGAAGCCAGGGTCTGGGGGCAAGTGGGCACCAAGTGGGCTCTGGGGCAGGGGGCAGTTTGGGCGGGCCAAGGGTGGCCCTACACCTGCTCCCCTGATGGTTGGAGTCTCGCGTTCAGTGTATTTTGAAACATGCTGTTTGGGGCAACACTCAGGAGCAGAAGAGCATTTTCCAGAAGGTTCCCTGCAGGGCTTTTATGAAAGGTCGCCACGCTCGCTGGTGGAGTCGGCCTGGAACATTTGTTCAGTTCTTTCATCCTGATGGGCAAACCATAAATCCGTGCTGCCCTCAGGACCTGACCCCTTGCACGAAAGGGGACACTGCCTCCGATCCCACAGGTGAGGACAGCAGACACCCAGGCTCTGCCCCCAGAGCACCCCTCCGGCTTCACTCTCTCCTACCCTACGACCCAGGGAGGTGACCAGTGCCGGGACTGCTGCGGGACCCAGGGGGGCGGCCCTGGGCTCAGGCACAGAGCTGGGTTCATCACACTCGTCTGAGCCTCGCTTTCCTTCTTTGCGAGGGGGAGCCAATGATGTGCCCCCTGTGGCACTGGGGGCTTCGGTGAGGTGCAAATGCAGCAGCACCCTCTGACTCAGCCAGCTCCCGGGGAGGGGCGGGGGGCAGGGAGGATGTGCAGAGGTGGGCTGTGGGTCCCCGAAGGGCCTCTCCCTCCCTTGTGTCTCCAACATCTGCCCAGCATTTTCTAGCTCATAAAACCCTTCCCTCTGTGTGCCCTGTCGCAGCCCAGAGAAGGGCTATCATATGGGGAGCCTCATCTTCCAGCCATCCCCACCCTCACGTCCCCCAGTCTCCCTCCAAACCGGGCACCAAGCGCAGTCCCTGGGAAGGCGTGGCAGGGAGAAAGAGTTGGGAGGAGAGGCTGGGAGACGTGCAAAGTGAAGGACTCAGACCGGAGGGTCCCAGTGGCCCTCTCACGCCCTGTCTTCTGCGAAGGGAATGAGTCTCCTTTGGTGACCTCCCCACTCTTCAAGCAGGGCTCCTTCGAAGTGTGACGAGCGCCCGCCAGCTGGATAAACAGCCGAGCGAGGAATGTAGGCTCACGGCTTGCCGGGGTACTGAATATCTGGATATGCGACCTGCAGATCAGCAGGGTTGTTTTGTGGGGAGGGAAGGGGGGCCAGGCAGAGGGTCTATATAGAGAGGAGGGGCATGAACAGGAGGAGGCATGGGACCAGAGATGCAGGGGGAGGCCAGGGGCGGAGGCAGCTGGACACATGGCCTTTGAGAAGTCTGAACGTGGGCCGGGCTTCCCCGGAGAGCCCCCCAGGAGGGGCCATCAGAAAATGAAGCCAGGATCCCGGCAGCACCGGGGGCGGGCAGTGCAGCAGAGGTGAGTGGACAGCTGAGGCTGCAGCGGGGACACCTGTGCCCAGGCCCACCTTCCTCCCCGCTGGGCAGCTGCCAGCAGCTCGGGCCGATACCAGGAACATCTGCCACAGACAGGGTCCAGCCCCCACCAAGCTAGCGGGACTGTCATCGTATCATGTGGAAAAACCACGTGCTGGGAGAAGCCTCAGATCTCAGGGAAAAGAAAATAAAACTGGGGACTTCCCTGGTGGTCCAGTGGGTAAGACTCCGCACTCCCAATGCAGGCCCAGGCTCGATTCCGGGTCAGGGAACTAGATGCCGCATGCATGCTGCAACTAAGAGTCCACGTGCTGCAACTGAGAAGCCCACATGCCGCAACTAAGACCCAGCAAGCCAAAATAAATAAATAAAATAATAAATAAATAAATAAATATTGAAAAAAAAAAAAAGAAAACTGGCCCCAAATCACAAGTGAGGCTCAAGGGCCTGGAAGGACAGAAGACAGCAGGGTCAGGACCACAGTGAAATAGGGAGACATCTTTTCTCTCTCCCCAGCAGGCAAGACATCACCCTTCTTCCAGGTCTGCAGATGGGGAAACTGAGGCCAGGCTGGGTGGCCACTGGCTCCAGCTCGAGTCTCAGATGCTGGAAGGAGGAAACATCACCCTCTGTGAGGGTCCCTGGGGGATACTGAGGTGCCCTGCGAGCCTGGGAGGCCAGTGGAGGGAAGACGTGAGGACGAAAAGGCAAGTGGGAGATTCCTCATGTGAGTGAGCACCTCTGAGGCTCCAGAAGGGCAGGGACAGGAGAAGAACCCATGGCACAGCACACGCGCCATAGGGGCGGAGCTGCATGCAGGGGTCACGAGCTCTGGTCAGTGCACAGCTCTTAGCACTTTCGAGATGTCTGCAGAATAAATGAATGAAATTTACTTCCCTTTTACAGATGACGGGCATGGGACTTGGAGGGGCCTGGTGACTTCTCCAAGGGCACTCTCTGCTATCTTTCATGGCAGAGAGAAGAACAAAGAAGTCAGAAGACAACGAGAGGCAACAGAATCACCTGTCCTTAGGGGCCAGTCCAGGGCCAGTGTCCACTCACCGAGGACAGCAGGGACAGGGGCCACGGGGCGTGAACACTGAGAACTGATCTCCAGGGCTGTGTAACCCTGTGCCCCACTGCCACCGCTTCTGTGATCCTGGAGCCCGGCCTCAGGCTTTGCTCTGTGTGTCGGGTGCCCACTGAGGAAAAGCCCAGGGAGAGCGCAGGGTGTGGAATCAGGACTGTCTGGCTGAACTGCGGCCCCGAGGGGACCCAGGGCACATCTCCACCCCTCCCCCCAGGCCCCAGTGTCCTTGTCTCCACAGTGAGGAATGAGTGTCACCCATCTCCAAGTGAGATGTGGACACTTTGGGCTGTGAGAGCAGACACACTATAACGTCATTATTCTTTCACCCCAATGTCAGGCCCACTGAGCTGCAGTGCACAGCCCCTCCGGGGCCTGCTCCCAAAGGGAAGGGGAGCCTCTGGTTGCCGCGGTCCCCCAAGTGGGGCTGGATGGTCCCCGAGCCTGCCCCTGAGCATCTCTCTCCTCCAGGCCTGGGCCAAAGCCCTGGTCCCTGTAGCGCTCACACACTTGTCCCATTGATTTCAGGACCAGCTCAAACTCCCCTCTGGCTTCGGGAGGGTTTGAGGCCTCCGCCGAAAGTTTGAAAGAAGAGCTGATGAGGGTGACCCAGCCCGCTCAAGTTTCATCAGAGAAGCAAAACCAAACCGCGGAATTCTGTCTTGCAAACCTTCAGCCTATTCGGTGACGGCTGAAGGTTTGTTTTCAATCTTCCCTTCCCTTCTTTGGGAGGAGGCCCCAGCGACCCTCACAAACCAGACTCGGCTCTGGCCAGTGGCCACGGGGTTTCAAATTCTGAAACGGACCTTTTGCAAAATGTTCAGTTTCAAGTCCTGGTCCGATTGCCCACATCCTGTCCAAACTTCCTGGGGGAGCGAGATTTATTTAAGAAAGGAATAAAATCCCCATGTTCAGGCCATTGAGTGAAAACACGCTCCATCACAGGCAATTTCAAGGATTAAGGTTACATATCTCTTAATGAGTCACAGGCAGAAAGCAAAGTGGAGTTGGCTGGAGGAGGAGGGCCGGCCTCGGTCCTGAGGAGGTGCTAGGCCTCAGCGCCAAGGACCCCGGTTCTCTGCCAGGGATATAATCTGCCCCCCAGCACGGCCTCACAACCATTCTTTTGTGCATTCATTCATTCTTTCACTCAACCCGTATTCTTACTGATGGATGAGCTACTCTGCACAGGTTCTGTACTGGAGAGTGGGGAGTCCGAGGCACCCAAGACCGAGCACCCCCAGTCGGGAAGCTCAAGGTGTGGTTGGGAAGAAGATGCCTAACCAGATCATGACCAAGCAACAGGACCGGTTTCCGCATGGAAGTCAAGTTCATGGCCATGGAACAGTTGTGAGTGTGGGGGCACTCATCCCATCTGGAGGGGCAGGACAAGCCCTCCGGTGATTGAGCACCGTGGGGAGAGGGCTAAAGGGTGAGCTTGTGCAAAAGGCACAGGGGCACAGATGCACGCAAACTCGGGGGTGGGGGGATGGTCTGCTGGGTGATGTACGAGGTCAGGGAGCTTGTGGTGGGAGGCGTGATGGGAGGCCAAGTCATGAGGATCCTTGAGCATGAAGCCAAGGAGCCTAGGCTTCACCCTGGGGCTTTGGGAACTCATGAGAGAGCTCTAAGGAGCAGAGGACTCTTTCTCAGTCATTCTAGAAGGATGCACATGGAGGAGAGCAAATTGGAGGAGAAGCAAGAAGACCAGTCGGAGGCGGATGACAGCCCAAGGAGCCTGGACCAACATGGGGGTGATGGTGATGAGAACCATAGACTCATGGGCTCCCTGGAGAGATGCTGAAGGGGGTGGACTGGAGTTGGAAGCAGAGGGAGGGAGGCATCAGGGATGGCGACTGAAACAACGTATGCCCATTTGCCGGGGGTGCTGTAGAACATTCTAGTAATGTTAGCGATAGCCAGTGTCCCAGGCAGCCATTTTGAGAAACTCAAAGAAATATGGTAGAGGGAAGCAAAAAGGTCAACATATATTCCATTCTACCCTCGGTTTGTCATTTGGCAACACATCTAAGAGAAATACTTGAAAGTTGACAGGGCAGATCAAACCCTGACACTCAACAGAACTTTCCTTAACAAGCACGGTGCTTGAGTGAATGTTGTGTTGGGCTGGCTGGTCACAACTGCCCAGGAAATGACCGGGCAGCAGCTGCACGAACTCCAAAGTACACTTGTCTCTCTTTCCTCCAAGGACGTCCAAAGACTCTGCTGACCTGACTGACCCCAGGGAGCCAAAGCCATCAAGCAGCTCCCACCAAGTCTATAGCTTTGTCCTCCTTTCAGTGGCCCCCCAAAACACAGGAAAGAAGCAGATTCAGCTTCTTATGAGGGTCAAGGCCAGTCCAGCTGGCAGGTTAACAAAGCCCCGGGCGCCTGGGCTTCACAGCACTGGTCACATATGTAATCAGGTAATTTTGCCATATGCATAGTTGTTTAGAATCTATCTCCCACTCAAGACTTGACGCTCCACCAGGATAGAGATGGGATGTGTCTTATTTCTTGCTATTTATCACCCAGCCTCTGGCACCACAGAAAGGGCCCAATATTTTTTGAGTAAATGAAAGAATGAATGATTAATTCGCCAAGCATTTCCAGATGCCCAGACCTTCTGCTGGGTGAGCATGACTCAAAAAGAAGACCCCGACTTCAAGAATTTCAGAGCCCTTTGGGAGAGACTGGTGGCTCATAATTTAACAACGTAATATGGGCTCTGTCTGTGGTACTGATGAAGGATGAATGAGTGAGGAAGGGCAAATTTGGACACAGGGATGTGGGAAGTCAAAGGAGGGGCAAGGGACTGTGGGAATGTGAGAGGCAGGTGACATCTGTGTTAGGCAGTGAGGGAAGCACACCTCGTTTACCCAGGAACTCTGGGGAAATGTGAGAAACTGATTCCCATATGTGTACACACTTGACAACCGAATCTTAGCCTCTGGCCCAAAGGCATCAACGCTGACCATGCTGCTCACCCTCAGCATGCGGAGGGCCCACCTGCTACCCACACGGTCTGAACGCCTCTCCGGAGGGACTGGAGTTTGCCCAGATGGGAGAGAGTTGACCCAGAAGACTCAAAATTAGAGGCCCAGATGCCCACAGTTAAAAAGGGGGATTCTACCTGATTCAGGTGAATGGTTTGAGTGGACATCAAATCCTTGAGAAGGAGATGGCTATATTCCAAGCCAGATGACCAAGTACCATCACCAAGTTCAAAGGAAGGATGCAAGACCAGGAGTGGGAGACGGAATCCAGGGTCAGGAGCTGGTCAAGACAAGAGAGGAAGAGTAGTGGTCAGTATTAGGTAAATAGTGGATACTGAATATGTAATTGCTGGGGGGAGGGAGGGAGGAATAGAAGGAGGGAGGGAAGGAGGACGGGAGGGAGGGAGAATCTTGGGCAAATGCCCCACACAGTGCAAAATTGTTGCCAACTCACATTTCTTGTTGTCTGTCCCTCGTAGAGGGTATGATATGATGCCTTAAATGTGCATGGTCTGGGCTGGCCTGTCCCATCCAAACTGGTATTCTTCCAAAACTTAGTTGAACTCTCTATTCTTCTGGGACAGGGGAATTTGGGTACCACATCCATTTGGGAGCTTTTAAATGAATGCAGTTGACACCATCAATTACAGCTCCTTCAGGTAATTTCTGAGGCATCTCTTTCCTCTCTGGTACCATACTATTATGTATAGGATAGGTATTACGCCAGATAAGGGCCTTATAATAAGCTCCTGTTAGACAAGGTTAATTCTCACAACAATCCAGCCAGGTAGGTATCGTTATTCTCATCTAATAGGTGACACTGAGGCTGGAGGTCTGGAGTGCTTCCTGTCTAACCCAAAGTCCCACAGCTAGAAGCAGGATGAAAGACAAGGAGTGGCCCCCCCCACTGGAGGCATGAAAACAAGACTGGGTTATTTTCAATCTCCTGTCTTGGCAGAGGCCGGGGCAGCTTTCGGGAAGACCCAGGGCTTCCATTCCACCAGTCCAAGCCAATGTTGCCCAAGGACGGGCCAAGGTCCAGGGCAGTCAGAACTGCCAGGATCCTGTCTCACTGTCTGGCACTGGCCACAGGAAGCTAGACTCAAGGGAGAACTTGCACTTCGGTAGGAGGATGCCACAGACCATCTGACACACAGCACACCTCCCTGCAGAAGAGTTCCCGGGCCGTTCTGAGAAGGGCCGTCCCGGTTCCACAAAAGCACATGTATTTTTAGCTATTCATTCATTCATTCAGCAGTAATTTACTGGGCGCCTCCTAGGCTCAGGCTGGGCAGGCCCTGGGGAGACAGAGAAGAATTTGACCCAGTTCTTGGCTCATGGAGCAGGTCAGTTTAATGGTGACATGTAAACAAATGCCCACGACGGAGTGGGATGGGTGTTCCGTGCGGTATTTAGAATGTGCTCTGAGGCTGGGGTGTGGCTGACTTTGGACTGGTCAGGGAAGGAAGCCCAGTGGGACCTCATCTACTCATTGCCTCACACACGGGTCACTGACTCATTCATTTACTGATTCGTTCACTTATTCACTCGTTCATTCATAGAGCACTCAATTTATTCTTGGATGACATATTCATTGACTCGTTGAATCACTCAATTATTATTCTTTTATTCAATGACTCTAAGATATTCATTCCTCCATCCATTTTCCTGTCCATTCCCTCATTAATTTGTCTCAGGCCTTGACTTACTTATCTAGTCATTAGTTAAATTATTCAACTTTGTCCTCTTTTCATTGACTTCTTTATTCCCACACTCCTTTTTTGACTTATTCCTCAATTAATTCATTTGGTTCCTCATTGACTCACTGGCTCACTCATTCTGTCCCTACCAATTAACTTTCACTAATCCATTTATTGATAAACTCATTCTGGAATCCACTTATTAATTCACCCATCTGGTTGCGTACTCATCTTTCTCTTATTGAGTCATTGAACAACTGGTCTTTCATTCATTCCCTCCTTCACTTACTCATTCATCACTCACCATCCACCTCTTGACATCTGTACCTACACATCGACTCATCCACTCATGAATTCATCATACACTCAAGTACTCATTGATTTAGTTACTCTACGCATTATCAATGTGTTCACTCATCTGTGTACTCCACATTTTCACTCCTTTTTTTTCCATTCCTTGTTTTACTCAAAGACTCATTCAGGGGCTTCCCTGGTGGCGCAATGATTTTGAATCCACCTGCCAATGCAGGGGACACGGGTTCAAGCTCTAGTCCAGGAAGATCCCACATGCCGCGGGGCAACTAAGCCTATGTGCCACAACTACTGAGCCTGCGCTCTAGAGCCTGCGAGCCACAGCTACTGAAGCCCGTGCATCTAGAGCCTGTGCTCCGCAACAAGAGAAGCCACCACGGTGAGAAGCCCTCACACTGCAACAAAGAGTAGCCCCCACTCGCCACAACTAGAGAAAGCCGGCAGGCAGCAACAAAGACCCAACACAGCCAAAATTAAAATAAATAAAATTAAATAAATAAATTTATTTTTAAAAAGACTCATTCATTCACTTACTCGCTGCTTCATTCATTCATTATTTCATTCACCTTTTATTCAATGACTCATTCAACAAATGTATTACATGTGCTCTTTGTACAGTGCATAGGAGGAGTGTGAGTCCTAATGCCCTGGACCTTACAGCCCAGGGAGGTGGTCATTGGCACAGGCATCTTCTCTTTTATAAAGCATCTGGTACTTGAGACTGAGCTGAAGTCCTACCATCTGTGCTTCTGGAAAGCCCATCTACTTGCCCTATTTATATTGAATTATTATATTTATCAGTAGGTCTCCACCTAATCCCAAAGAGCTACTTGATTGCTGGAACTAGAACAGATTTAGATATGAATGCCATGACCAATACAGAGCCTGACACAGATTTGGATCAATACTTGTTGAGCTGAAATTAATACCTTAGTATCAGTCATTTTTGCACTCTCTCAGATACCAAGTGCCAGAAAATTTTAAAATATGGGGTACAGGGACCTCCTGCCATCACCCCCAATCAGGCCATTAGTGTTTGTTCCTGAGATAGGGTAAAAAAAAAAAAAATCCAGGTAAGCAGCATGCAAAAATATCCAAATTAGTTCAGTACAACATGAACTGCACACTACATACTATTAAAACAAACATTTTAAAAAGTGTTTTATTTTTATAAATGTCAGTGGTGCAGAACCGTAATAATCATAACCCTTGTTTCAAAACACATTTCCATCACTGGCCCTCTTCTAACTGACTTTTTCATAGATTGATTTGCTAAACAATAATAATAATGATGATAGGAACACCCAAGAACCCACTAAAATACAACAACAAAAACAACAAATATTTTAATATCTATGTCCCCCTTATAAACAGAGGTTAACAGATTAAGTCTTTTTGGTTAAATGGATATCAGAGAAGTAAAGTTGGGCCACTCATAATTCTTGTTTCATAAAATGTTATCACTGAAGTACTCTTGGTCATTTTCATTTTCTTTATATATGGATTTTCTCTTATTTATTAATTTAGTCAGGTACTCATTTTCAAAAGTAAAGTCAACAGCAAAGAATCCACTTCCAAACAAGAGGGTAAACTTTGACTATTATGTCTCCCTATATACTCCTTTAACAGAGTGGTACAATAGCTGACTTGAGTTAAACAAATCCTTGTTTCATGAATAATCACATCATTGGTCATGAGTGGCCATTGTGATTTTACTAGCATATTTATCTTTAATTTGCTCAATTATTTATTACCCAAGGAAAACACAACCAACCCGAGAACAAGATCTTTGACTAAGCCTAGAATTCATCTATGCTCTTCTTACTGCAAGAGGTAGCAGTCCAAATCTATTTTTTAACAGAAATCTTTTTTTTTTTTTTTTTGGTTTTGCAAAATGAATTAACCACGATCCTTGTCAGACAAAGTCTTATCACTGGTCCCTGCATAATCTTCTTTGATTTGTTCTATAGTTACATGAAGCCATCTATTCTTTTTAAAGAATATAGTCATCATCCATAAACAAAATGACCAAACCAAGAATAAAAACTTAATCTCTTACTTACCCTGATCTATACTCTCCTTGGCCACATAGGTAACAGTCAAGATCTTCATCATTAAATAATGACTAAAACAACCAAGGTGTGGACATTCTGGGGCACAAAGCAGATGGAAAAAAGAATAACAGGCACTGATCACTGGTTCCTATTTTGCACTCTTTCATTTAGTTAACCATTTGTTTAATCCTAATTTTGTTTCCTTCATGAATCAAACATCTAGTAACCCACTTCAGACTAAAAGCTGAATATTGATTATTAAATACCTCTTTCTAGCTGCTTCCTACACAAAATGGTAACAACTTTATGTATATGTTTTCTTATTGGGCCAACATATTTCAGAACTGAAGTAATTATATTCCTTATTTTATAACACATCCTAAAAATTGGTCCATGTTTTGACCTCTCTTTCTTTTCTTTTGAATGTATTTGTTTATTGATCCATTCATTTATTCACTAATAGTATAAAAGCAATATCTATGAACTAGATTCTCAAACTTTCCTGAGATCATTCCCAAAAAAGTCAAACACTAGTTCTCTTTTTGCCATGGACCTCAGTGGTTCAAAAAATGATTGATCATAATTTTTATTCAGATGCATTCCATTCACATCACTGGTCCAGGTGTGGCCATTCTGCATTTAATTTGAACAATTTTTAGATGTTACAATGAAAAACCATGAAACTGTTGTCCTACTCCACAACTAGAGTACTGACTTCCTAAATGAGTAACAGCCTAGATCTTTGTCAAGAGGGGGATATTTAAATAATCAATGGGACAAACATAAAATGGGACATTTCAGTTTTGAAATGAATGGGAAAAGTTAAGTTTTTTTCTTATACTTCATTTGTGTTAAATTGCATTAATCATAAACTTTGGCTCATAACACATTCGCATTGTAGGTCTATGCATGGCATTTCATTTTAATTACATTTATTCTTTTTTAATGATATAACGGAAACCCATGAGCTAACCACCCAAACCAAGAACTTTATTACTTACATGGCAAGATATGGTCCTCCCCCGGAGGGATTAGCAAAGATCTTCATGATTGGAGAATAATTTAATTAGTGATAGTTCATCCATCCTGTGGAATGTAAGATGCTGACAAATGAAAAGGCCTGGATTGGGGTTTTAATTTAGTGAACATGAGGTAACCATGACAACAATTAATTGTAAACAATGATTTATGCCACATTCTTATCTCTGCTTCATGAATGGACCTCCATTTTATTAATTAATGTATTCAGTTATTCATTTTAATAACACAATAAGCACCTGTAAATGAACCACCCAATATAAGAAGAACTATGAGTGCTGCAGACAAGAGACTCTAGGTCCCTTACCCACAGAGCTAAGAAGTCAGAACTTCATTTTTTTTTTTAATTGGGGTATAGCTCTTTTACAATGTTGTGTTAGTTTCTACCATACAGCGAAGTGAGGTAGAATTCCCTGTGCTACACAGCAGGTTCTCATGAGTTATCTGTTTTACACATATTAGTGTATATATGGCAATCCCAATCTCCCAATTCATCCCACAACCCCCTTACCCACCTTGGTGTTCATACGTTTGTAGAACTTCATTTTTTAAAAGGGGTCTGTTGTGCTGAATCAGATTCTTCACGAACCTTGGTTTACGACACAATCTTGTCATTGGTCCTTATGTGGCCTTCTTTGATTATATTCCATACCTTCTTTTTTTCAATTGTTCGATCTGCAAAAATCAGGAGTCACTATCGGACAGACAATCCATCCGCATGGTGCTCTGAGTGAAAACAGACCAGCTTGCTATATGATGGACTAAAATCCCACCACCCAAGATGTAAAGTAGTGAGAGGAACAGCCATCAAATGTATTCCATACTTTTAAATCATACACTGAATATTCTAAATAAGTTATCCTAACAAAGACAAGAACTTGACGATTACTCACATTGAACCATGAAGGTCTTGATAATTACAAAATGATTATCCACTCATGTCCATTCTGTGAAGCACAAAGCAAATAGCACAAAGAAGGGGGGGGGAAATGAATACGGATTCTTTTATAACTTTAAAAATGTTAAATAAAATATGACAGAATATCTTTTGGCCAAAAAGGCAAATATGCAAAATTCTCTCCACTGATTCGTGTTTTCCACTTGATTGACTTGCTATTTAGGTATTAATTCATTTCATTATTTATTTCTGTTTCTCTTAATTACATAAACTAGAACTCACCACTGACCTAGACCAAGAACATTGACTATGACTATTCTCTGTCTAAATGACCTTCATCCCAAACAGGTAACACCTCTGATTTGTTTGTTTATTAATGAACCTCAGTGTCCTAGGATGATATTTAAAAATATATAGTTCAACAGTTATACTGACTGGTTACATACTAATCCTTGATGTGTAATTCATTCTCATCTCTGGTCTTGTAAAATTTTGTGTACATGTATAGGCATTTATCCATTTTCTGTAATACAGCGAACACCCATGAGCAAACTACCCACCCAAGGATGAGAACTTTGTGTACCACGTATACAGGCCTATAGGCTTCTTACCCAGAGACTCCCCAGCCATGACGTTTAACCATGAGAAGGCATTCTGGGGAGTAGAAAGCAAATGTTAAAAAGAATGAAACAGCCTAGATCTTGACTTTGCTCTAATACGCTAATGGATGCAGGGTGAGCAGGTTGAGATTAACCTTAAAACTTTGGGCCATGTTACTTGCTACAACTGGCAAAAAGGTAACCCCTCTTTTAATTTAATTAATTCAATGATAAAGTTTACATAAAAAAGGGATACCTTTGAATCCAGTACCTGAATCAAGGACAGGAGCATCTGTGAGGCATCCGTCTCTATGCTCCACACATACATACAACCACCTGAATCTCTGAGCCTTACTTGTGCAGAATTAGATTCATCTCAGCCCTTGTTCCAAGGTAATTTCATACCAATGAACAATACTCAATCCTACTTTATTTATTTATTTATTCATAAATTAGTTCGGAAACTAGTCATTCTTTTTAAAGACATGGAACAACGTTTAAAACCTCCAAAACCCTGAACAGAAATGCTACTGTATATATCAATGTTCTTCTTACCCAAACTAGCAAGAGCCAGAATGTCTGCCCTAAGAGGGACATCAACTGAATGGAACTGGTTAAATCATAATTATTTCAAGACACGCTCATTACTGGCCCACACTTTGTCCCTTTGAGCTAGTGATTGTTATTAACTTATCCATTTATTCACTGTAAAGATAAAATTGCACACGCTCAATGCGATAGCATGAATAATAGTAATGCCTGCACAGTTTGCTGCCCACTAGCAAGCTGATAACAGACTGTAACTCTGCAATGGAATTCAGTGGGCACAGTAGCTCATGCTGCCTAACAAACTTTTATCACTGGCCTTCTTTAATTTAAATAGCACTTAATCTTTTATTTAATTTTATAAACATGTTTCCGAATTAGTAATAAAACAAACAACCCGTAGACCAAAGACATCCCAGAATGAGGACATTGACAATTCATGCATCTGTCTGTATGTGCTGCATTCTGAGAGATAAGGAACATGAATCCCAGCTCCTCAAAAACAGATTAGTGCTGATACCCGTTTCATCACATCTGCGATAGTTGGTTCAGGACTGGCCATGTTTTTATTCACTTATTCCTATTTTTTAAACCTCCATGCATTAATTCACTTATACTAATATAATCATTATCCTTGACCCACAAAAGCGCAAAGACAGGATAGCTGAATATTCGAAACAACTGTCTGTAAGATCATTTCCAGTACAGACATGGACTAGATTCTTCTTGTGGTGGACCTCAGATGTCCCGACACATATTACTCAACATCCTTGACTCAGACATCACCAGTTGTTAGCAAAGGTCCAAGCACGGAATCTTTTGCCTTCATTTATACTTTGCCTCTTGATTTTATTTATTAAGTTACGGCTTACAGATAAAGAAACATACATGAATCAGAAAAAACCCAAAATAAGAACCTTGATATCCCTAATGTAGATCTATAAAATCATTTCCTAGACACTAGATCTGTTTCTTGAATTGACCTCAGTGTTTCATACATGGATGCCTCAACATGTTTCCATGTCCATTATTGGACTATGGTTGCCCTTCTCTGATTATATTTCCTATTTCTTAATAATGCATTGACCACCATAAACCACCCAAACCAAGACAAGAACTTTGACTATTACTCACACTGGTCTCCATGTTCCTAAGACAACTGAGTTTGAGGCCACAGTAGAATGCTAAAATCAGTGCAGGAGTGACCATTCTGAGGAGTAGAAAAAAGAACAAAAAGTAAAGTTTGAGACCTTCTATGTATTGATTGTTTGCGTTCCACCTTTCATGGACTCAGTCATTTAATATTTATTAGTTTATGGTAATTCTTTCCAGTTGGACCTCAGAGTTCCAGACACGTATTCATCATGTACGACTCACACGCCACCAGTAGTCATCATCGATCCAGTATTGCCCCTCTTTTTCTTCGTTCATTTCTATGTGTTTATTGATCAGATCACTAATTCACTAATAATAATTTTAAATCACTATGATTCACAAAAACCCAAGAAGAGTTTTTACATACATAATCTGTACACAGAATAATTCTCACATCAATATATATTTCACTATATCCTCAGTTTTACAAACATTCAATAAACAATACAATGCATCATATCAATCTCATATTTATTGCTAGTCTAGAGTTGACCATCTTTGATTATTTTTCACACTTTTTAATAATATTTTGAATACTCTTAAACAAACCAACCAAACCAAGACAAGAACTCTGACTATTACTCACATGGTCTTCATGCTCCTAACGCAGATGTAACCAGAAAGCTCCTGACAATGGAAGATGCTTAAATCAGCTCAAGTGCATTCAGTCTGAAGAGTACAAAGCAGGACAAAGAAATCAAAAAAACTCAGACCTCATCTCCATTGATCCTTGATTTCTGCATTTCAGTTACTCATTGAGGTACTTATTAATTTTGCATAAATATACATTTTTCCTTAACAAAAAAGGACTAACCTTAAACTTGGAACTGATCCAGATCAAAAAACTGATTCTTACAAAACAGTGTCCAGATGATCCTAAACCAAAGAGGTAACATTCTTTAATCACTTATTTCTTAAGGAACAACGTTTTAATATTAACATGAAAATTTTATGAGCAATATTTTTTGTGTCACCACATATGCTCATGTTGAAAAATGCTTCACCCTCCTCTTCTTTATCTATTTATTTATATTTGCTTAATGGTTCTATCATTGATTCATTAGTAATAGCAATTCTAAATCTATGAATCTAAATAAGAACACGATATTTGTGTATTGCTGACATCTGTCTATAGGATCATCTCAGAGGGAATAGACTAGATCTCAGGTTGACCCCGAGTTCCACACACATACTATTCATCATCCATGACCCACATGCCCCAGACATCATTAACGGTCCACATTAGACCCTCGTTTTCTTCATTTGTTTTACATTGGTATCAATTAAATAATTCATTCATGGATTTTAACAAAAATCAAATTATTTAAGAAAACACACGAACAAGATCCTTAAATATTCCTGAAGTCTGTCTACAGGATCTTTTCCCATATACACTATATTTTTTCATTAAGTGACTTCAACATTGATCAGTCAACACGATGGTTCCTATGACATCTCTTATTATCTATTATGGATAATTTTTCATTATATTTCGTACTTTTTAATAATGCCAGGAATACTCAAACAAATTACTGAAACCAAAATAAGATCTCTGACTACTACTACTCATTTGTTCTCTTTCCTGACACAGAGGCAACATAATCTTGATCACGACAGAACCTAAGATCAGCTCAGGGCATCCATTCTGAAGAGTAGCAAGCAGACATAATGTAAAAAAAAGTTGAGATATTCTCTTCTCTCCATTTATCCACAATTTCCATCCTCCGTGTACATAGTCATTTAAGTGTTTATTAATTCACGGCAATTTTTATTTTTCTTTCAATACAATAAATATCAAACATGCAACTGACTCAGGGCAATAACTGGCTACTACTTATCACTGTCAATATCATGCTTATTTAGTTCAAGACATAATATATTTGGTCCATTTTATTATCTATTCCGGTATATATTAATATTCATTTTGCTGACTAAATATTTTATTAATTAACAAGGCTTCACCCCTCTTCATCTTTATTCATTTACACATTTGTTAATTTATTCTGCCATTGATTCTCTTATAATTATATTTTTTAAATTCATGAGCACAAAGACCAAGAAAAAGATCACTGTATAATCCTGAAATCTATCTATAGTCGCTTAAAATATGATGAATAGACAGAGTCCCTTTGTGTTGATCCTCAGACTTCTGGACACGTAGAATTCATCGTGTATGACTCATACACTAGTCATCACCATTAGACCATGATTGGCCAACTTTCTCTTTATGTCACCAATATTTGTTTACTAATTCACTAGTAAGGAAATACATGTAAATCACCAAAAAAAAGACAAGAATAACGTTCTTGAATATCTCATAACATCCACCTATAGACTCATTCATTTCAATCATCTCTTTCAATTAACTGAACTCAATGTTCCATTTATGGATTAATCAATGTAATGCTTCATATTAATCCGATAGTAAGCATCAGTATGGTTGGCTGTCTTTGATTATATTCAATACTTTCTAATAATACAGTGAATAGTTGTTTTAAAAAAAACACTCAAACCAAGTCAAGAACTTTGACTATTATGCTGTTCTCCACGCTCCTAATACAAAGATGCAACCATACAGCTTGTGACTTTGGAAGAACCTTTAAATAAGCTCGAGTGGGTCCATTCTGAGGAGCAAAAAGAGGAGTAGATGATAAAAAAAATAAGACAATCTATCCATTGATCTATAGACTACACCGTTCATTTACATAGTTGTTGAAGTATTTATTAAAATAGGTTAACATATTTCTCCTTAATAAATCAAATTGTCAAACTGGAAACTGACTCAACAATAACTGACTCTTACTTACAAGGTTCTGTTATCATCCTTTTGTCAAAGACAAAACACACTTGGCAAAATACACAAGGTACGTTTACCGTCCATTCCAAATTATAATATTATTTTTCCTCATACATTCCTGCCATTAGTTTAAAGGGTCAATTCAAACAGAGATAATGAACTAGATTTTTTTCAGGCTGGACCATGTTCCAGACACACATTCATCATATATGACTCATACGCCATCAGTGGTCATCACTGATCCAATATTGCCCCTCCTTTTTTTCATTAATTTCTATAGGTTTGTTGATTAAATCATTACCTCATTAATAATCATTTTTAAATGTTATGATTCACAAAAACCCAAGAATACTTTTTGTGTCCCGAATCTATATATGGAATTATTCTCACAACAGTATATCTCTCACTAATTATCCTCAGTTTTTCATACATACATTGATATGATAACTTTATCCCATATTTATCACTGAGATAGAGTTGCATTCTCTAAATCTATTTTGCACTTTTTTTTAAATTAATTAATTAATTTATTTATTTTTGGCTGTGTTGGGTCTTCATTTCTGTGCAAGGGCTTTCTCTAGTCGTGGCAAGCGGGGGCCACTCTTCATCGCGGTGCACGGGCCTCTCACTATCGCGACCTCTCTTGTTGCAGAGCACAGGCTCCAGACGCGCAGGCTCAGTAGTTGTGGCTCACGGGCCTAGTTGCTCCGCGGCCTGTGGGATCTTCCCAGACCAGGGCTCGAACCCGTGTCCCCAGCATTAGCAGGCAGATTCTCAACCACTGAGCCACCAAGGAAGCCCCTTATTTTGCACTTTTAAATGAATCACTTAAAAAAAAAACAACACTGAAACCAAGAGAGTAACCTCACTATTACTCACATTAATCTCTGTCTTCCTAGTATATACAGGCAACCGCAGCGCTCATGAGGGAGGAAGACGCTGAAAGCAGCTCGAGGGCATCTGTACTGAGAAGTACAACACGGAGCAGACAATTAAAAAAGTGAGACTTAATCACCTTTTCTGAATAGGTATCAACGTTTTCAATTTTATTAATATCTTTTGCCACGCAACATACATTCATAATTGGACAATGCTTCACCCTATTGTTTTTTAGTGTATGTATTTATATTTGTCTAATGATTCTATAGTAATTCCATAATAGTAACAAATCTAAGTTATGAAATGAATACAAGAATATGATCTTTGTATATGTCTCACATCTCTTTATAGAAACAATTTCAACAGAGGAACAGGTTAATTTTGTTCTGTGTTGGACCTCCGAGTTTCAGACACAAATTGTTTCCTCGTCCATGACTCCTATGCCATCAGACATCATCACTGGTCCATGATTTGGTCTGCTTCTCTTCATTTGTATGTTTGTACTGATTAAATTATGAATTCATTGATAAGAATGAAAATAATACATGGTTCACAAAAACTCTAGGACAAGATTCCTAACACTGGTTTACAGAATCATTTTCCACACAGACTATATCTTTTTCATTAATAGACCTCAATCCTGCACATGATTGATTAATCAACATAATGTTTCATATCCTATTTATCATTAGGAATTTTTTAATGAATTTAATACTTTTTAATAATATTGTAAATACCCTTAAACACATGACCCAATCCAAGGCAACAGTGTGGACCATTACTCACCTTGGTCTCTTTCCACACAAGGAAGCAGCAGACAATCTTGATGACAACAGGAGCTGAAGTCACCTCCAGCATCTGTTCTGAAGAGGACGAAGCAGACAAGATGATAAAAATGTTGAGACTTTCTCTCCACTGATTTAAAGTTTCCACAACTCATCTGCATAGTCATTTAGGCATTTATTAATTAATGTAAGATTTATTTATTTTGATCTTAAGAAATCAAAGTTGTAACTGAATCAGTAAATGACAATTATCACTATTATTCTCACTCAGACATATACACTTGATCATTTTATTTTCCATCCCAATTTACATCATCAGATTTCTTCATAATACTTTTTAACAATGAACAGTGTTTCCGCTCTTTGTATTTATTTACTTACCTATTTATTTACTTATCTTGCCATTGATTTCTTAATAATAATACTTTTAGGTATTTCTGTACACTAAGAACATGATCCTCATATATGCCTGGCATCTCCCTACAGGATCACTTCAAAAGAGGGGAGAGGGCTTCCCTGGTGGCGCAGTGGTTGAGAGTCCGCCTGCCGATGCAGGGGACACGGGTTCGTGCCCCGGTCCAGGAAGATCCCACATGCCACGGAGCGGCTGGGCCCGTGAGCCATGGCTGCTGAGCCTGCGCGTCCGGAGCCTGTGCTCCGAAACGGGAGAGGCCACGACAGTGAGAGGCCCGCGTACCGCAAAAAAAAAAAAAAAAAAGAAGAGGGGAGAATGTTAGATTTGTTTTGTGTTGGGCCTCAGAACTCCAGACCCGTAGTGTTCCTCATCAAAGACTCGTACCACAAGTCATCATTGTTTATGCAGACTTGGTCCTCATTGCCTTCATTCACGTCAACACTTTTTATTGATTAATTCATCAATTCACTAATAATAATAAAATAAATGCTTCACGGTCACAAAAACTTAAAACAAACAAGGTCCTTGGCTCTTTCATTTATCTATAGAATTACTTCCCACAGAAACTGTCATTAATTGACCTCAAAGTTTCCTATATAGATTCATTAATATGAATCCTATATAAATTTATCAATGCTTCATATTAACCCTACTTTTACTGTTTAGCCATGGTCGACAATCATCAATTATATTTCACATTTTTTTTAAAGATTTTTTGATGTGGACCATTTTAAAAGTCCTTATTGAATTTGTTACAATATTGGTTCTGTTTCATGTTTTGGTTTTTTGGCCCCGCGGCATGTGGGATCTCAGCTCCCTGACCAGGGATCGAACCCACACCCCCTGCAACAGAAGGTGAGGTCTTAACCACTGGACCACCAGGGAAGTCCCTCACAGGTTTTAAGAATGCAGGGAAAATCTTATAAAAAACAAAACCACAAAACCGAGAAAATAATTTTGACTATTACTCACTTTGCTCTCCAAGCTCTTAACACATAGATGCAACCACAGGATTCGTGACATCGGTGGAACACTTAAGTCAGCCCATTGCAACGATTCTAAGGAGTACAAGACAAAGTACAAGATAAAAAAAGAGTAACAGATATTTTCATTAGTCCTTGAATTCCACATTTCATTTAGTCAGTCATTTAGGTAGGTAGTGAATTGGGATAATTTGTATTTTATTTTCTCCTAAGTAAACGAACAATATCGATCTTGACAATGACAGAGAACATGAAAATTTGACTTATCAATAACTATATCATCCTTAGTCAAAGAATAACCCCCTTGTACCATATGTTTCCTAACATACATTTGTTTTTTAATATATGTTGATAGTATTTCTTGCATAGCCACATATTTCTATAACTGGAGAAAGTTCCACCACCTTCATCTTTATTTATCTATTTATTATTTGATTGATCCCATTATAAAAATAAAAAGAAAATGAATGAACATAAAACAAGATTCTTGTATGCTCCTGACATGTGTCTATAGGATCACCTGAAATAGGGGCAATGGGCCAGAATCCATTTGCATTGGACCTCAGAGTTCCAGACACGTATTCATCATACACGACTCATAACGCACCGAACAGTCATCATGGATCCAATGTTGTACCTATTTTCTTCATTCATTTCTACAGTGTTTATTGACTAATTCATTAATTCACTAATAATAATTTTAAAACCCAATTATTCGCAAAAAGCCAGAAAAGCCCTGAAATCCCTATTCTGTATATGTAATAGAATTATTTACACATCAGTATATCTTTGTTTATATCCTTTGTTTTTATGTTACATATTAATTCAGTATTTATCACTGGGCTGCAGTTGGCCATTCTTATTATATATGGTACTATTCGATAACACACTAAATACCCTGAAAGGAATCACTGAAATCCATACAAGACTTTGACTATTACTCACATTGGTGTCTGTTCTCCTAACCCAGAGATGCAATCTCAGAGGTCACCATCACGGTACACTGCTTAAATCAGCTCAAGTGTTTCCATTCTGCAAAGTACAAAGCAGTCGATGATAAAAAAAACGTTTAAGTATAATCCCCATTGATCCTTGATATCCATATTTCATTTACTCATGCATTTAGGTATTTATAAATTATTCACAGTGGAGATATTTGTTTGTTTGTTTTGTTTTTTAAATTTACGGCTTTATTGAGCTAAGATGGACAAATAAAAATTGTTCATGTCTAAGTTGTACAAAATGATGTTTAAAGCTATTCAACATTATTTAACACACATACAGATTGTGAAATGATCACTAAAATCAAGTTAATGAACACATCCATCACCTCACGTAGTTGACTTTCTGTGTGATGACAACACTTAAGACTTACTCTATTTGCAAATTCCAAGAACACAATAGAGTATTAACCATAGCCACGAAGGTGTGCATTACATCCCTAGATATTATTCATTGTGTAATGGAAATGTGTACCCTTTGACTAACATCTCCCATTTCTCCCACCTCCCGGTGGTCCCTGGCTACTCAGCATTTTTTTTTTTACATCTTTATTGGAGTATAATTGCTTTACAATGGTGTGTTAGTTTCTGCTTTATAACAAAATGAATCAGTTATACATATACATATCTCCTCCCTCTTGCGTCTCCCTCCCTCCCACCCTCCCTATCCCAACCCTCTAGGTGGTCACAAAGCACCGAGCTGATCTCCATGTGCTATGCGGCTGCTTCCCACTAGCTATCTATTTTACATTTGGTAGTGTATATATGTCCGTGCCACTCTCTCACTTTGTCACAGCTTACCCTTCCCCCTCCCCATATCCTCAAGTCCATTCTCTAGAAGGTCTGTGTCTTTATTCCCGTCTTACCCCTAGGTTCTTCATGACGTTATTTTTTCTCAAATTCCATATATATGTGTTAGCATACGGTATTTGTTTCTCTCGTTCTGACTTACTTCTCTCCGTATGACAGACTCTAGGTCCATCCACCTCATTACAAATAGCTCAATTTTGTTTGTTTTGATGGCTGAGTAATATTCCATTGTATATATGTGCCACATCTTATTTATCCATTCATCCGATGATGGACACTTAGGTTGTTTCCATCTCCTGGCTACTGTAACTAGAGCTGCAATGAACATTTTGGTACATGACTCTTTTTGAA